AGAGGAACAGGGTCAGCGAAGGGGAACCGGTCTTCGCAGAAGGCGACGTCACGTGAAATAAAAAAACGTTTCTTCTCCAGGTCATATAGACGCCATCCTTTCTTGCCAAACGGGTAACCGACAAACGCGCAGCGAATGCTTCGAGAAGAATACTTGTCGCCTTTATGATCTTTGTTGTGGGAACAGGGTCAGCGAAGGGGAACCGGTCTTCGCAGAAGGCGACGTCACGTGAAATAAAAAAACGTTTCTTCTCCAGGTCATATAGACGCCATCCTTTCTTGCCAAACGGGTAACCGACAAACGCGCAGCGAATGCTTCGAGAAGAATCCTGCTCCGGTTTCGTGGCCTGTGTTACTTGAGGAGGACGATATCCCACCTCGCTTGACATCGTTTGCACCATCATCTATTGATCCCTCTTCTACTTCTTCTTCGGCAGATTCCGCGACCAAGCATTCTGATACACCGGCAAATACTCTCCCAGTCGAGGTTTCGAACGATAGGGGGGGCCGTTCCGTTGTCTCCAATATCGCAAACCATGTTCCTGTAGACACAGACAACTTAGGCCGAGGGAAACGTGCCAAGTTCCCTTCCACACGTCTTAAGGACCATGTCACAAACACCGTTCGTGTCGTAAGCCCGTCTCCTAGCTCACTTGCACCACATAGCTCCTCAGGTACACCGTATCCAATCACACAATTTGTTACTTGTTCTAATTTCTCTTCGTCTCATCGCGCATTCTTAGCCGCTGTTTCGGAGGGTGTTGAACCACGTTCATACAAGGAGGCGAGTCGCGATCCTCGATGGAAGGCGGCCATGCAACGTGAGATTGACGCGTTGGTAAAGAACAAGACATGGACTATCGAACCCCTTCCGCCGGACAAGAAGGCTATCGGTTGTCAGTGGATATTTCGGATTAAATATTGAAGGATGTAATGCTCTAGGATGATCATACGATATGAGAACTATGTATGATATGATGTATTTATTGGATGAATACATTATTTATTCATTATTTATTTTGCATATTTGATAAATAATGATAATCCCTGGATCGTTACGAACGATCCTAAATTCCTTAGTCGTTTGTCATTGTGGGAACGATGATGAATTAAGACTAACATGAGGCGTAATCGATGATCATAATGATGATCATACGTATTGGATACGGATTACGGTCATGGGTACTTGTTTGGAACAAGTGACTGGATGACTCGCGTGAGATTGTCGTTTGGATTTATCCATGACTTGAATCTCACTTGATGGTTCGCTTTAGATCCTCAGACCTGAGATATCTATTGTATCCATCATGACGAGTAATGTACTTTGACTGCGTCAAACGTCGTCTTTAACCGGACGACTATAAAGACGGGGCTCGGGTACATTATGAATCATGTAATGGATAGTAGATAGTCAAGATGGAACTTTGTCCCTCTCGAAAGAGAGAGATATCGCTTGGGCCCGTCGTAGGAGTGAGACTGTGGAAATGTGTGGCCACACTATAGATGAATGTCATCTATCTCTAACAGTCTACTCGGGATACGACAAAGCATTCGAACTATGAGTTCGATTATGATATCGTGAGACAAAGAGGATCATCGTTTGAGCTATCTCTAGCTTTTCGGTTAGATCACATCTAACTCTTTCCGATACGGGTAATCATAATGTCTTGCTAGAGACCGCTTATGATTAGGGAAGCGAGATTGGATCTCGCGTTCACTGCCGTATTCGGAGGAGCCTAAAGGGTCACACACATAAGGGATGGATATACACGGACGGGAAAAGATTGGACGGAAAAATTGGATTTTTCCGGGAAATCTGAGTCTGGTCCGGACCGGACCAACTGTTGGTCCGGCGGACCAGACGATCGAAGTGATCTGGAGACAAGTCCGAAAATCAGGTCCGGTCCGGAGCTGACCAGGGTTGGTCCGGCGGACCGGAAGGTCAGCTCGGACTCGAACTGATGGTTCGGACTAGTCTGGTCCGGCGGACCAAATGTTGGTCCGGCGGACCAGACAACAGGCGGACTCAGGGTTGGCAGGTCCGGACTCGGCTGGTCCGGCGGACCAGGAATTTGGTCCGCCGGATCGGGATTGCGCGGAGTGTCGGCAGACTTGTCGAGTCTTGGTCCGGCTGACCAAGGTTGGTCAGCCCCGGACCAAGACGTTGACAAAAGTCAACCTGA